CGAGTCTCCTGCCTCAGCCTCCCAAGTAGCTGGGACCACAGGCGCCCACCACAACGCCCGGCTATTTTTTGGTTGCAGCCATCATTGTTGTTTGGCAGGTCCGGGCTGGGGATTCGAACCCGCCACCTTAGGTGTACGTGGCTGGCGTCTTAGCTGGTTGAGCTATAGGCGCCAAGCCTATAGTCTTTTCTCTTAACTAGTGTACACATATTTTGTAGGCAAGAACCATAATTTCCTTGTTTATTTTTCACTTAGCATTAAATGACAATTAGTGAAGGAATGACTTAATGGATAATCCAACACCTTTCATAACAAACAGTACTTTCAATACTTGAATTTTCATATAAATTGATACAATATTAAAGATGAAATCTTTTTGAAATCTACAAAGATTGTCTATATATATATCACTAGTATTCTAATTGTTAAATATTTACTCATACATATATTTTGAGAACTAGATTTTAATTTTATCAGAAAAACAAGTCTTTTATACATTTCAAAAATTATTATTCAGAAATTTTACATTTAAATTAACTTCAATACATATTTTTAAAAGATCTCAAATTTTCCATCTAAAACTTAAAATACATATATTATGTTACCTTTATCACCCCAAATTATACATTTTCTAATTACCTTCCTCCTTATCTTCCCCAGAGAATATATATGTATCAGAAGTACATTTTTTTAAAAGTAATTTCTTTTTTTTTTTTGGTTGCAGCTGTCATTGTTGTTCAGCAGGCCCGGGCTGGATTTGAACCCACCACCCTAGGTGTATGTGGCTGGCACCTCAGCCACTTGAGCCACATGTGCCGAGTAATTTCAATGTGTCAATAGTCCAATGATTTAAAATTTGGCTTTATGTTTTTCTTTTACTATAAAAGTGAATATGCAGTTCGATATTGTAAATAAACAGAGTTTTCTGTGTGTCCTCTATTTGCTTTTTTCTTTTTTTTTAAGTTCAGTCTCTGTAGAGGCCATCAAAAGTTGCCACTGCCAACTATATTTCTCTTTGTCATGGTGAGTATTAGGAAAAATTTTCAATTAGCAATAATCCCACCTTGGATAAACCTCATTGGCTACAATATTGCCACTGCACAAAGCTCTGTGTATCCTCTAAACCTCCCTTTCTCAAACGTTTCTCTCCTGTGGAAGAGAATCCAGCTCTTAAGTCAGTGGCACTCAAATGTTTGAGGGGAAGTCTGTAGAATGGGACACTTCTGACCTCTTAGACTTTCTGTTGGCTTACTTGGCTCACTTTGAAAAGCAAAAGTGAAGGAATTAGGTAGCCCTTCCACAACTAGTTTCTATATGTATACTGTATATAGTTTTAATATGACAATATACACACACCTATTCTATATATCACATATATGTATACACATATATGTATATTCGTGAATTGGTATATAATGTATAAGTATCACAAATCAGGGACTTTTAAGGTAAATGTAAGATTTAAATCTCTTTTGCTGACTTTCCTTTAATAACATGAAAAAAAAAAACAAAGTCTTATTTCAAGATGTGCAATTTGAGACTACTTTTCCATTTCTTCAGCTCCTAATAAGCACTAAGAAGCAATTTGCATCAAATCACCACCTACTCCTTGGCATCCCCAATTCCTCCAGCAGTTATTGCGAAGGTGGCTTCATTTTCGGGCATCTCAGGGCTAACAGAATACAAGGGAACAGAAGTTTATAAAAAGCTCTATTTCTATAAATACTATATTCATGTCACAGTCATCACGCTCCCATCAGTCTGAGTCTCCAGAGACATTTCAGAGTTGGAACAGCTAAATGTGGACTACAGAATTTACCCACAAGTATTATTAACCCTCACAAACATTTACTGAGCAACTTCTACATATAAGGTTCTGAATGTCAAGAAAAAGTACTCCAGGCTCGGCGCCTGGGGCTCAAGCGGCTAAGGTGCCAGCCACATACACCTAAG